TCATATTCAAGAAAGAACAAGAGAAAGCATTAAAGGTACAGTCGTCTGTAGGTTTTTAAAAAAATATCATATTCAAGAAAGAACAAGAGAAAGCATTAAAGGTACAGTCGTCTGTAGGTTTTTAAAAAAATATTATGTTGAAGAAAGAACAAGAAAAAGTATTAAAGGTACAGACTTTTATAAGATTTTAAACAATAAGTATTCAAGGTACAGTCGTCTGTAGATTTATTGAACTATATGATATTCAACAAAGAATAAGAGAAAGTATTAAAGATACAGCCATCTGTACGTTTTTAAACAATATTATATTCAAGAAAGAACAAGAAAAAGTATTAAAGGTACAGTCTTCTATAAGTTTTTAAACAATGTTATATTCAAGAAAGAACAAGAGAAAGTATTAAACGTACAGTCGTCTCTAGGTTTTTAAACAATGTTATATTGAAGAAAGAACAAGAAAAAGTATTAAAGGTACAGTCTTTCATAGGATTTTAAACAATAAGTATTCAAGGTACAGTCGTTTGTAGGTTTATTGAACTATATGATATTCAAGAAAGAATAAGAGAAAGTATTAAAGATACAGCCATCTGTACGTTTTTAAACAATATTATATTCAAGAAAGAACAAGAGAAAGTATTCAAGGTACAGTCTTCTAAAGGTTTTTAATGAATGTTGTGCCTTTAATACTTTTTCTTGTTCTTTCTAGAACATCATATTGTTTAAAAACATACTGACGACTGTACCTTTAATACTTTTTCTTGTTCTTTCTTCAATATAACATTGTTTAAAAACTATAGAAGACTGTACTTTTAATACTTTTTCTTCTTCTTTTTTGCATATAACATTTTTCAAAAACCTATAGAAGACTGTACCTATAATACTTTTTCTTGTTGTTTCTTGAATATCATATAGTTTAATAAACCTACAGACGACTGTACCTTTAATACTTTTTCTTGTTCTTTTTTCAACATAATATTTTTTAAAAACCTACATATGACTGTACCTTGAATACTTTCTCTTTTTCTTTCTTGAATATCATATTGTTTAAAAACCGATAGAAGACTGTACCTATAATAATTTTTCTTGTTGTTTCTTGAATAAAACATTGTTTAAAAACCTACAGACGACAGTTCTTATAATACTTTCTCTTGTTCTTACTTGAATATAACATTCTTTAAAAACGTATAAAAGGCCGTAAGTTTAATACTTTTTCTTGTTGTTTCTTGAACATAATATTGTTTAAAAACCTATAGACGACTCTACGTTGAATACTTTTTCTTGTTGTTTCTTGAATATAACATTGTTTAAAAATCTATAGTAAACTGTATCTTTAATACTTTCTCTTGTTCTTTCTTGAATATAACATTCATTAAAAACCTTTATAAGACTGTGCCTTTAGTACTTTCTCTTGTTCTTTCTTGAATATAATACTGTTTGAAAACGTACAGATGGCTGTATCTTTAATACTTTCTCTTATTCTTTCTTGAATATCATATAGTTCAATAAACCTACAGACGACTGTACCTTGAATTCGTTAAATTGTTCTTTCTTGAATATAACATTGTTTAAAAACATACAGACGACTGTACCTTTAATACTTTCTCTTGTTCTTTCTTGAATATAACATTGTTTAAAAACCCTTAGAAGACTGTACCTTTAATACTTTTTTTCTTGTTCTTTCTTCAACATAATATTTTTTTAAATCCTACAGACGACTGTATCTTTAATACTTTCTTTTGTTCTTTCTTGAATATCATATAGTTTAATAAACCTACAGACAACTGTACCTTGAATACTTTCTCTTGTTCTTTCTTGAACATCTTATTGTTTAAAAACCTATAGAAGACTGTACCTTTTATGCTTTTTCTTGTTCTTTCTTGAATATAATCGCCTATAGGTTTTTAAATATTTAAATACATTATATAATCGAACCACGCGACGAGAAAGCTAAAAGCATTAGTTACAAAACGTACCTAGTTTACATAATATCATGATATGATATATATAAGTTTCGGCTACCTCTGTTCTCATTCTCTTTAAACTTAGATGCTTCAACTAATTAAAATAGTTTAACTGGAACTACCATATTGATGATGTTTTTTGATATGCCGTATCAACTGATTGCAGAACCACCAAGCCCGCCAACAAATCTAGCTGTCGTTGCCGTAACTAGCAGAACTATAGAATTGTCATGGAAACCGTCTTATAGTGGAAATAGCGCCATCTTGAAGTATATAGTACAGTATAAAAATGCCTCAGGTACGTTCACAGTAACATAATATTGAGTATATTATTTACTAAAATAACTTTACTTCGTAAATATAAAATGCCGCATAATAATAATAAGTCTTGTATGAACAATATACTTTACATTCATCCCTTATCTTTGCTCCACATTTGTTCTTTTCTTTTTAAGGTTCGTGGGATAGGCACTTTACTCCTCTCGTCTTCTCCAGTTCAGAAACTTCAGCTACCATTAGAGGATTACTTCCGGTTACAACATATCATTTCCGGGTGGTTACCGAGAACCTGCAAGGACATAGTCAGCCAAGTGCAATTGTAGAATCCACAACAGCTGTGGAAGGTAAAGCAGACGATTGATTCTAACCTTTATAGGTTCCATCTTAAGTATAATTAAGTATTTAACTTACAGATGACTGTACCTTTAATACTTTTTCTTGTTTTTCATTAAATATAATATTGTTTAAAAACCTACAGACGACTGTACCTTTAATATTTTCTCTTCTTCTTTCTTGAATATAACATTTTTTAAAAACTTTACAACACTCTACTTTTGATATATTTTCTTGTTCTTTCTTGAATATAACATTCCTACATTTTTCTTACATCGTTATTTTTAACATTTACACGTGCGGAAATGATAGTCGTTTTAGCTTCCCTTTTCTCATATATTCGTTAGGGTATGTTTCTAGTATGAAAAGAAAAACTGAGATGATAATAATAAAATAAAGCATCTGTTGAAAGAATTTTACAAATTCATATATATATATATATGTTTATGTATACACTAAATCTGATAATATTTAAACTCAATAGCTAGAGTAATACCTATTTTTCTGACAATATTGAAACACTATAGCTTGGATAATACCTATTTTTCTGACAATATTGACACTCTATAGCTTGGATAATACCTATTTTTCTGACAATATTAAAATTCAATAGAGAGAACAATACCTATTTTCTGACAATATTAAAATTCAATGGCTAGAGTAATACCTATTTTTCTGACAATATTGAAACTCAATAAAGAGAGTAATAACACATTTTGTTAGCACTAAAACTCAGTAGAGAAATTACTAATGTTATATTACAGTAATAAACTCAACAATGAGAGTAATAACACTTCCTGGTAGTACTAAAATTCAAAGATAACATTCTTTGGGAGTATTAAAACTCAGCAGGGAGTAATTATTTTCAATCACTTCAGCTAATTGCTAATTCTTATTGATGTGAAAATGCTATTTCTAGAAACCATATTTTATAAATGTTGATCCCTTTGGTAAGAAATTTAGAAGTTTTGGCCTTCGACTTAAAAAGCTGTCAGAAAAAAAAAGATAGTTTTTATCGAAAAAAGGTATAATATTTATCACGTTTCATTTTTGTATATCATAAAAGTTATTAGTGTTGAAAAAGGTAATTGCCGAATGTACAAAAACTACAATAGCTTTGTTGATAGTTGCCGAATGTACAAGAACTACAATAGCTTTGTTGATAGTTGCCGAATGTACAAGAACTACAATAGCTTTGTTGATAGTTGCCGAATGTGCAAGAACTACAATAGCTTTGTTGATAGTTGCCGAATGTACAAGAACTACAATAGCTTTGTTGAAAGAGTGTTCCGGTAAAGTTTATGATCTTATCGTTTCAGAACCCTCCTCATAATAGTTCTATTTTTACTATTCTCTATTATTTATGTAATGATTAACCTTGTAATTATTACCTTGTTCATTCTATTGTATTATTTTTGTTCATGTAGTAATTGTTATGTTCTTTTATATGAGTGTTTTCAACCGTGTTCAGTAATATATACGAACTATATGCCTTGCCCAATATATTTTATGTGTAATGATAAAATTAGCGAAAATATTTACCTATGTAGATGTCACTCATATCGATTGGCTTCCCCCTTCAACAATTTAATAACGTAACTAGGGCCTATAAAAAAACGAAAATTATACGGTAAAGAAAATATTTCTATACACAGACTTAAACAAAAGTTGAAATTTCAGACAGTTATAGTAAGTTTATCTTTATAATAATTACTGTACTGCCCCTAATTAACGCCCCCGGGGGCGTTGCAAACTGCAAAAAGGGGCGCTAATTTTTCGCATATGCTTTGTTGATTTCAATGCTAATAAGTGTATGTGTGTATGTGTGTGTTTGTTTTTCTTCTTCTTTTTCAAACCAAAATTCCAGTGATAAAAGTGGATTATATATTGGATTACTATTGCTGTCACACAAGGTAAGCTTTATAAAAATACCAGGGGGGGGGGCAATAATTAGTGGGGGTGCTTTAATTAGGAGCAATACGGTATATTATTTAGTGATACATGTTCTTCTCTAAATGCTACTCCTGAATTGTTTTTGTTTTTTTCTTTTGACCAAGCACTCAATCTTTGTAATACATATTTGTTTGTGTTTTTCTTTCATTTTAATTAAAAAAGAATAATTAAAGCGCGTTCTGGTTACAACTGTTACGTTTCAGGTACAGCGTGAATGAAGATACGCACGAGGGTAGGATCACTTCCCAGCTAACAATCTCGTCAACAGATCGAGAAGATTCCGCACTCTACACGTGCGTTGTGACAAATCAGTACGGCTCAGATGAGAAAAATATTCAGTTAGTTGTACAAGGTAAATCGTCTATTCGTGGAGTAAACTAATGTTAATGTGAAATGTAGAACCTCCTCTTACGATTATTATGTCACGAGCGTGGCAAGTGGTTAACGTATTGGAGAGTCGATGGTTCGAGACCATTCGGTTCAGAATGTCTGCTTCAGGCGGCTGGTACTTCTATCTCGTTGCCTTCGTTGTAGTCCATATTTGAAACTTAGGGGTGACTGTGCCTAAATTATATAGGTTACTAATCTGGCCATTTAGCCTATTGTGTGCATAATGTGTTGGTTGTTCAGATAAAAACATAAACGAATATTTTTTTATTCCATCTTTTGTATTTATTTTTTTCCTAAATTTTAATCTTGTAGCTTTCTACTTACGAATGATTTGGTTTGTTTCGTGGGACGGGGATTCGAACCCGCGACCTCCCTCCGATTGCGAGTCAAACGCCCTAATCACCTGGCCATACTCAGTGTTTAGTCAGTGCGCGGACTTTCAAAAGAACACTGATAAGTATCTGCATTTCCTCCAGTCGTATACTATTGTGTTTTCTGTCCCTATGAAAATCATTGCGATTGACAACATATTACTTGTTCCTGGAGTAAACTGTTAAAGAGATGAAAAAGTAAAATTTGGTTAAAATATTATATTATTTCTTCATATAAATTAACGTCTGAGTAATGAAGTAAACAGCCCTTTATAACACGACTAGGAGTTCTTCCAGTAGTGTATAACGGATTTAGTGTAACTTTTAGTGTTTTAAACTAACAGGCTACTAGGATTTCTTCCAGTAGTGTGTAACGGATTTAGTGTAACTTTCTAGTGTTTTAAACTAATAGGCTACTAGGATTTCTTCCAGTAGTGTGTAACGGATGTAGTGTATTCCTTAAGCCTTTCAAAAATTGCATTGACCCTCTTTGTTTGAATCTTTCTTCAGAAAAAACTATCATTCATACCCATATTTCAAACAATGTTTTTACTGTACAGAAATTCTTCAGCAAGTAACTCTGTCTTAAAATAGTGTTAAACTCTAAATTTAGAATATTTTTTGTACTTTCAAAACCATTGTTCTCAATAATAAGATCCTCAATATCTTCTCAAAGTATAAAACACGACAGACAGAGAATGTGTGTGTAATACAAAAAAGTAAGAGCACTGTTTGGGAGTTTTAACACTGAATCAAGATACATTATTTAACAATATTAATACTCAATGGAGAAACTAGTGCTAATATATCGTAGTGTTAAACATAATACACAGATTAATAACATTTCCTAGTTGCATTGACAGTATTAAAACTTAATAGCTAGAGCAATACCCATTTTTAACAATATTAAAACTCAATAGCTATGGTAATATTTATTTTTCTGACAATATTAAAACTCAATAGCTAAAGTTATACCTATTTTTCTGATAATATTAAAACTCAATAGCTAGAGTAATTCCTATTTTTCTGACAATATTGAAAATCAATAGCTAGGGTAATACCTATTTTACTGACAGAACTGAAACTCTATAGCTAGAGTAATACCTACTTAAGCCTATTAGTTTAAAACACTAGAAAGTTACACTAAATCCGTTACACACTTCTGGAAGAAA